CATATCTTTTTTTTTTTTGTAATGATACGGCGACCACCGACATCTACACTCCTCCCCCAGCCCACACACACCCACTCACACATACACATACATCCCCCTCCTCTGTGGGGCCTTTGCCCTCCTAAGCACACCCAGACTCCCACAGATAAACATCCTCACCCCTTCTGCCGGGCCCTGCTTTCTCTAATCCATCTCCCCTTCCAGACTGAACACCCCCCCAAACAGACACACACTCTCTCACACACACACACACAGCCCAATCCTGACAACTCCAGAGGGGGGTAAACAGCTAGCAGCGCGCCGGAAAACCTACATCTGACATCCCAGCATCCCAATCCCGCCTGCTGAAAATCCATATTTAATTGGTTTGGAATGAGCAGAGCATGGCACAGTGTGACGCGTCACTGGCTGACTGTTCCCCCCCTCCCCCTCTCTCCCCCCTTCTCCCCCGCCCCAGCGAGGCCTGGAGGGAGAGCAGGGCACCATGGACATCGACCCCATGCTGGACCACCAGGGCGTGTGCTGCAACGAGTGCCGGCGCAGCTACACCCACTGCCAGAGGATCTGCGAGCCCCTGGGGGGGTTCCACCCCTGGCCCTACCACTACCAGGGATGCCGGGTGGCCTGCCGGGTGGTCATGCCCTGCAAATGGTGGGTGGCTCGCATCCTGGGCCTGGTTTAAGAGAAAACTCCAGACACGACCCGAGATGGGGCTCACGATTGGAGTGAGAAAGAGGGAGAAAAACAGAAGAGAGAGGGGGGGGGGGGGGTTGGTTTTTACTCATTCTCGTCTACTGTAGGTAGAAACCTGGGCTGATTTTTTACAGAGCGAACCGCAGTGGGAGCTGTGCTCGGGGTAAAGATGCAAAGGTGAGGTAGAACCTGCCCACTGCACAGACCTGCCTCAGTAAGGAGAGAAAAAGCATATATATATTGATTTAGACTCTTAAAAAAAGAAAGCTCAACGCACCATATGTCTATAAACCTTCCTGCGTTTTCAATGAATTTAAGAATTCAAAACGCATAAAGAAAGCAGGTGAGCTTGAATCCAGATCCAGCCCGAGTTCTTTTCTTTTCTTTTCCTACTTTTCATCAGGCTGGTGGGAAATGTTTTCAACTCGAGTTCACCAGAAGCTCTCATTAAAAC